AGGACGTATGCTGTTCACAGCTTAAAGTTCACCGCTCATAACGTATGTGAGAGAGAGAGGATAAGGGGACTGGTGTTGTACATATGCATTATTACCTTGCTCTCATCAAAATCAAAGTCAACAAGAGAAACATTATCGGGAACGGGATATTCTTCCACACGTTTGTCTCTGTCTACGGACCAGAGATGCATAACCTGGTACAATGATTCAAATATGTCAAAAAACCTTTTAGTGGAAACTTGCACCAGGAATGAACAAAGAAATGCACATGAATTTATAACAATCCTTAAAACACAGGAGTTTGAGAACATATGAACGTTAGTTAGCCCAACCTTATCACCAACACCAGTAAGAAGCAAGCCCATCTTCATTCGGCACTGATCAATCCTAACAAAGGGAAAGGCTAGAAACCAGTCACGAACCTGCTATGCGCAAGTCGATCCACAAAGAGCACTAAATCAAAACAGATAATCCAATAGTTGCTAATGCACTTGTTCTCCATATTTTCTCAATGTATTTCTATCTTCCAGGGAAGCATAAACCAAATTAAACTCTGATTAGATTGGATAAAGACTATATATGACTCATGTTTGGAGATGAAAATAAGCCATAAATCCTCTAAGAAGATGATTTCCATTCAAGAGATTTTCAAAAACATTTTCTGAGCCTAAACTTGCCTTCATGTCATTGTCCATAGCGATCAAATCCAGCAAATTATGACATGACAATGGAACATTTGAAATTCACTTCAATCCCCAATGCATCAAGTTCGATAATATAATCCAATATGTAAAGGAAAGGGATGTGGATTCAGGGTCCAAATGCAACTCAGTTTGCTGCTCCAAATATGCAACAACTAAAGAAGATATCAACTGAATTGAAGCCCTAAACAAAATAAAAAGGAAGTTGAAAATCGTTACCCAACTGAATGACCTCTCCACTGACCAATATCAATACGACCTTCTTGCAAAGATAAGCTATGATGCATCATAGCTAGCTCTTCTAGACTCAAATTCAATTCTCGTCGTGAAGAATTAGAATCATTACAAAATTCTGAATAATTCTGCCACATCTTGCAATGCAATAACTTAGATCTATTGACCACTGCATTCCTTCAGAAAAAATAGACAGAAAATAATCTGATCATCACATTGTTTCTTCTTGCCAACCAACTAGTCGATTACACTTACACCATTTTAACTTCTATTACTGGAGTAACCAAAACCAATAATTGTAAAATTGAAGCAGTTAGAGTGTTTAACGTACCAGGATTTCCAAACGACGGTGCAGCGAACGAGGTCGAAGATATTTAGGAAGGATAAGATGATATGGAGGATATCATGGTCCAGTGAGTCTATTCTCGTCCGAGCTCTCACGCCGTTTCTCTTACTCGTCGGTGAGGAACCGCCGGAGGGTCCCGGTTCCATGGTTTGACACTTTGACCTCGCCGCCGTTTATCTCTCCAGCAGTGACCCGCAGACAGCCTGACACAGGAAAATAAGATACGATATCCTTCCTAACTAGGGGTGGGCAAAACCGGTTTTGGTTCAAAATCGAAACCGATTTTGAATTAACCGAAAAAATTCGGTTTTAATTTTGCAAACCGAAATCGAACCGAAATTATTATAAGCTAATCGGTTTGTTATCGATTTTTATCAATGAATTCGGTTCGGTTTTGGTTTTTATTAGATAAATATTATTTAATTATTTTTTTAATAATAAATTATATTTTATCACATATTTTATCATATTTTGTTATATTTTATCATATTTTAATATGTTTTATCTATTTTATCCTAATTTTAGTTTTATTTTCGGTTTTCAGTTTTTAAGAGACTCAATCGAAACCGAACTAAAATATATTCGGTTAATACTGAAATCGAAAAAATAGAACCGAAAGCCGTTGAAACCGAATCGAATTCATTTTTTCGGTTCGGTTTTTGGATAAACAATCGATTCGGTTAAAAAATGCCCAGCCCTATTCCTAACTGAGACAACCGACTCCGGGTACGGTCAAAACTCAGCGTTTAGTTCATGATTCAAGAACAAACCGCAGTCATTTTATTGGGTCGTAGGCCCATAATAGTTATTATCTTTGACTCTTTCTCCTCAGAACATTTTATTGGGCCGTAACCAAAATCTTTTGAGCTTGTTTCCTCTGCTCATGGTGAGTTCTCAGAAGTAAAAATTTTCTTTTTTTTTTTTTTTTAAGAAAACATTAGTTAGATGTTAGTATCTATTTATAAATTAACATTAGAGTCGAAACCGGATGAGCTCCACTTGCTACTCTTTGGAGTAGTGTGGCACATCCACTAGGCCACATGGGAAGTTCAAGTAAAAATTTTCTTTTGATGAATGAGAACAAAAAGAAAAAAAAAGGGATTGTCTTCTTGTAGGCAAGGTCTAGTATTCAAGTATTGGGGATAGTATCTAAAAAAATTAATATATTTAAATGCACTAGATTGATATAAAAGGTATATATTTAAAATTGTTTAAGAAAAAATTAGTTTTGAAATACATAAAAAATGATTCAAAGACACTTTGAACATAAATACTAAGGGGTATCAAAGAAGAAAAGTACACCCACTCTGCACTCAACATGTTTCCAAAATTGAAGGCACAACAGATACTAAAAAGTGTATATTTAAAATTGTTTAAGAAAAAATTAATCTTGAAATACATAAAAAATGATCTGAAGACACTTTGAATATAAATATTAAAAAGAAAAAAAATATCAAAGAAGAAAGGTACACCCACTCTGCATTCAACATGTTTCCAAAATTGAAGGCGCAACAGATTGGGTGAGGTACTGAGGTTGAGAACCCTCTTAGCATTTGGCTTGGGATAGAAGGTCGGTGCACATTAATGTATTGAATTTGCATATGGTATGGAGAATGACCATATCCACATTCCACGTTATGAAATTTATTCAGAACAATAAGTTAGATACTTAGATACAAGCACTATATATAGCGTTATACAAACAAATTCAGGCACAATATTAAATTTGAGTAGTGCTTCTAACTAATTCAATTATTGTATCTCATTTTCGAGTTATGCCTATATATAATTAAACAGTGCTTACTATACCTCATCAGCAATTCACTCTCTCAGCTTCCTCAAAAAACAAAAAATTCTAGTTTTGCTGAATTAATTCATTGATGATGGCTAGCTTTGTTGCTTTCAAGCTGGCTTGTGTGGTATTGGTGTTTATGGTGGTGAGTGCACCGTTGGTTCGAGCCATAACATGGAATGAGGTGGTGAGTCAGCTGGTACCGTGCCTGAATTACCTGAGGAACGGAGGGGCTGTATCTGTTCCCTGCTGCACTGGTGTGAAGGCCATTAAAGCAGCTTGCAATTCCAAACCCGCCTGTAAGCAAGAATGAAAGTGCGTGGAAGGCATTGCCACCATCATTCCCGGTCTCAACTATGTTAACGCAGTTGCACTCCCGGGCAAGTGTGGAGTCACCTCTCCTTACCCAATCAGCCCCAACACCAACTGCATGCGATACGTATGTGGTTCTTCAAATTAACTCTTTTACACGCATGGATGAAATTCATGAACTTACCCCACTGGTGCACAAATTAATTTCCTTCTGATTACTAATTAATTCCTTTTCCATTGCAGGATATGAAGTATCACCTGCATAAAGGAAAGAAGAAGAAATAAATTCTATGGGCGTTGAGGTGTCCCGATCGAGTGACTCATTGCCCTTGTTACTGTATGAGAATTAGTTAAACTATTAAATGTATGTTCCATCTTGTTTAATTCTTTTCTTTGTATGTTCTTCTCTTCAGCTTAAAGGTGACAGGCACGCTAAATTTGCACTCTTCTAAACGAAATAACAGGAATTAAGTTGAGAGATGAATCCACCAAAAAAAAAAAAAAAAAGTTGAGAGATGAACATTAAAATATACAATTTCATATTTGACAAGTACAAATATATTGGTCAAAATGATGAGATGGGACGTCCAATGAAGTAGTGCCTCCCCTCAGCTGTTCCTGTGTCTCTGTATAAGAAGTTTATGCTTTGTGTGTCTCTTTTAGTTGTTTCAATATCTCTATAAAATGTTTTGGATTAAATGGTAGTTTTATTGGAAAAAAAAAAAAAAGCCATTGGCAGTATTTTTGTTAATGTAATTTTGTTGGTTGGTGGTATTCTTTTGTAAAATCTATTTCATTGGTGGCACGTTAAACTAATTGCATTTTGAATACTTTTAGGAGATTATTATTATTTTTTTAAAATCATTTTGTTTTTGGTCAAAAATCCAAGAGGAAATCGAGCTTGAAGATTTTGAGAGAAATTTATTTACATTAAAGGTAATTTTTATTGTACGAGCTTTCTTTCAGTTAGTTTGAGGTGAAGTGTGCCTAAATAAAATAGTTTATGACGCGGAAAAAAAAAATTTTTGGTTGCAAATTTACTTTCTTCTTCCTTTGTCTCTCTTCTTTGTTCTTTTATCTTGAAAGTTAAATAGTAGTGGCAATTTTATAAATTATATGGGGTTCAAAAATATTTTAATAGATTGAAATTGAGTAATTTCATGAAAATTTGTAAGGGTTTTTTTGTTTATGTAATACCCTAAATTTTTGAGCACCTAAATTCTCAAGAAGACTTATATGGAACAATTAATTAAATAATGATTATAATAATAAATCAATTAATTAAATAGGGAGGAGATGACTTAATTAAAAGGGATTTTTATTAGCAGATCTAGTTGTCTAAATCTTCAATGTGTGTTAAAATGATGATGTAGAATTTTGGTTGGATTAAAACATCATGATCATAAAACTCTCCTCGGCGTTTTTTTTTAACCCTTGGGGCAAACCATTCTCTAACCTTGGTGAACCCGCCAACCTCCCTGCCTCCCTGTAACACATCTTCTTCTTCAAATCAAGGGAAAATTTTAGAGCTTGTTGCTGTTCATCCTTCCTCTTTTATCCATGATCTCCTGTTGATTTTGTGTGCATCCTTTGCTGTTTTGGGTTCAATTCTACCCTTGTTTTGGGTGATTCTTGAGGTTATAAGCAGCTAAGAGATAGGGCTTCGATTCATTTGTTCAATACTCAACTTGGTTCCAACATTCTGGAGGTGGAAATTTGGTTGGAAACTTAGTTTTTCCCTTTGATTCTATCAACCATGTTATTAACATCACCAATCTCCTTTGTTGGAAATTATGGTAAGTAGCAATTGTTTCAAGCCTGATTTCTAATTTATTTAGTTGTTGTTCTTATTAGATTGAAAAGCTATTGAGGGGATATAAAGTAAAAGAATTACTTATGACGTGTCTGGGTTGTTACACATGGGTAATTCAAATAAAAGAGAATAATTTTTTGATTTTGCTCCAAACTAATAGCTTGACCTTGTGTTAGTAATCTGACCATAATCTCCTTTATAGATTTCGGATTAAGCTGATTTTTGATCTTATAGAAAGTTAAGACATAAGGCTACAGTTGATCTGTTAACCATTCAGCCCAATTCAGTAGATTTTTGGGTGCAATTTCAATTGAAATTTCTGGTTCAGGATCTAACCAAGACTTGCCCTTAAGCTCTTGCTAATCTGCCGTCCAATTTTGCAGTCCTTGGCTTTACTCTTTGTCTCTTAAATATTTTCAATGTCTAAATTCTTGGTTCTTGAGGAATCTTAATTCTTTGTAAAGTGAGATAAGTAAATTTATGATCATATTAATGGTTTTAAACTAAGGTTTTAAAAACATATCTTGAATTGTTTTGAGGAGGTGGTAGGATTTAACCGGATTTATGTTGATATGAACATGACTTGCTTTGATATTAAATTTTATAATTGTTATTTATTGAAACTTGAGCATGCCTTTTTCATGAGATATACTTATTGAAACAATCTGAATTATGTTACTTGTTTAAATGCCTACATTGTTTTGTCTCTTATTTTGTTGTGATTCCTATGTTGACATGTATTTTTGTAGAACTGGTTCATCCTATTATATTCTTGTTATCCTGTTAGTGGAAGTATAAACACTAGTTATTTTTGTTATCCTTGCCAGTGAAAGTGTAAATACTGATTATTTCTATTATCTTGTCAGTAAGAGTGCAAACACTAACCATGAGTAATTAAGAAAATCACTATAAGATTTTATTATGTATTACTAGATTGAGACTGAAAGTAATATTTTGATGTTTTGTATCTAGCATGCTTTCTTTTAAATTAAAGTAGGGTTACCCATAATTTACTTACTAAGTTATCTCACGTCATTTTTCCTATCTACCATTTCAGATAACGGGACTAGAGACATTGGAATCAAGGTGAGTGACATGCTAGTCGGTTAGTTATTTTATTAATGGATTGAAACTAGATTTTGGTTTTATGCATAATTTAACTTGGTTAGATATTCAATTATATATTTTAGATTGTGTAAGATTTTTTTTTTTTTTTTTTACAATGGATTTTAGTGGATTATTAGAAGATATGAGTTGTTGCATAATATATTAAACAAGTTTTGAGTCTTGTACACTTGTGGGATTCACTCATAAGTGTACGACGTCTGTTTCGTTCTGGTTTTTAGGCATGACAAATTTTGTGGTATCAAAGTCTAGGTTTAACAAAATACCTAGGGTTAATTAAAAATTTCAAATAAAATGGACTTTAGGACTTTGGTGAGACAAGTGATGGGTTTACACAAGGAATGATTTTGATTCTTGTTTTTTGAATTTTCCTAGTCCATTTTTGACGAGATGGTAATCTCATTAGTTCTTGTTATCTACCTTTATATGGTGAGGATTCTTGAAATTATTCTTGCTAACTATGCTTATGAACTCTTGTTTCTAAAACTTGACATCTACACTTGCTAGAATTTGATGCCTAAATATGAGTTAATTGAAGAAACTCTTGATACTTGTTGGAATTACTTGTTAGACCCCTTGAAATCTATTCCTGAAAATTTTATTGAGATTGCCTTGGTTCTTGTTCATGAGTATTAATATCCGAACATAAATTATGACTGGTAGAATTCTTATTATCTTGATACTTACTTAAAATTACTTCTTGCATTTGAATTGGAATTAGTTCTTAAAGTTAACTTGAAATATGTTAATATAAAAAATCGATTGATACTTAGTTTTGGAATGGCTTAATTCAAAAAATCATCTACTAACTTTCAGTTTAATTTCAATTTCATCTATTATCTTTGAATTGTTTCAATTTTGTCTATTATCTTTCATATTTATTTCAATTTCATCTAGGCAGTTAAAGTTAATAGAAATCCTAACGAAAATCTTCTTAAATCTTAGTACTCTAACTATGTTTCTTTTAATTTTTTTGTCCTTAAATTTATATTCACAGTAAAAATAGTTTTTATTCTTATTTTGCTAAATGTGTTTTTCAGAAAATTGTTTTACAGAGCAGATTGCTTTCAGTCTACCCTGTAAAATTATTTAAATACCCTTAATCCTATTTTTATATTATTTTTGTATGAACATTTAAATAATTTTATAAGACAGATTGTACACAGTCTGTCTTATAAAACAGACTTACTCTTAAAATTTCTTATTCTAAACTTACTGAATTTTTCTGTCTGAATTACATTTTATCTCTATAAATTATTTTTTGATTCATCATATTTTATTAGGATTTAAGTGTCACTTTTTTAAAACTCAAAGGACTGCTCTTTCTTCAAATCTAACGGCAATCTAACGTCCTCTTTGTACAGTAGACTAATTTGAAATATTTTTCAAAGTTTCTAGATCATTTAGAAATGAAACAAATTTTCTAGACTAAACTGAAATTAAACTGAAAGTTAGTAGATGAGTTTTTGAATTAAGCCGTTTTGGAATCTATTTCTAAACTTATCTTTAAAAACTATTCTTGTAGATGCACATTAATTTATTAAAATTACTCTTAAATATATATTGATGTTATTTTTATAAGTAGATATTTAAAAATAATATTATATAAATTAATTTTA